AGACTGAAAACCTCACAGCAGCAATTGTTTCAGGTGCAGCTGGAGCAGGGAGCCTGCAAGGAGCCAGGGGAGGTCCCTGCAGAGAAAGGAAATGAATTCGTTGCCTCAGGGCTCTCGGCTGGGGGCGGGAGGGAGATTCCCAAACCTGAGCCCTGCTTTTAGGGGTCAGATCTGAGGTGTCGTGAGAGCAGGTTCTGGAACAAATTGCTAATGGAGCAGCTGCACGTTCCCAGCCCCACAGGGCATTCACCCAAGAGTTCCGAAAGGAGCCAATGAACTTCTACCTGCGGCCTGTACCCTCTCCTGTCACTCAGCGTCTGTCCCTAAGGGTGGGAAGGCAGCGAATGTGACGCCGATGTTCACAAAGGGCTTTAGGGGTGGGCCTGCCCATGCCAGGCTGGTAACAATAACTTCAGCACCGGGCAAACTGGATGAAACTATAGTAAACTACAGAATTGTCCGGCACAGAGATGGATGGAATTTGTTGGGGGAAACGTCTCATGTTCTTTTAAAGAGGAATCGTGTCTCACCAATCTGCTAGAGCTCTGTGAGGGAGGAAACCAGCATGTGGCCAAGGGGGATCCAGTGGCTCTAATGTACTTAGATTTCCAGAAAGCCTTTGACCAGGTCCCTCACCAAAGGCTCTCAAGTAAAGTAAATTGGGATAAGAGGGAAGGTCCTTTCATGGACTGGTTACAAGACAGGACACAAAGGGTGGGAATAAACGGTTGATTTTCAGAATGGAGAGAGGTAACTAGTGGTGAGAAATGCAAAATAATGCAGATTGGAAAACAGAATCCGAACATATAGAAAATAACAGAGACTAATTTAGCTATAACTAATCTAGTGAGAGATCTTGGAGTTACTGTGTTCTCTGGAAAACAGCGATTCATCTGCGTTTACATGAATATGAAGCCATTTTCTTTTTGCTTTACATTTAAGGAGGCTACATTTAACTTTAAACTTTGGGAGGTAAGCTTAGCTTGCTTACTTTAAGATTATTTTTATTAAACTAAATTTAAACATTAATTGACCTATTTAGTATGATCAAATCTTTTATTGCTTTTTAACTCTTTTGCTGAAACATTTGTTATGTTTTCCCATTTTTATCACATTTTACTTTTTTTGTAAAACTTATCTCTTTTACATTTGGTTTTATTTGATTCTGGAGTTTTATGTTGTTATAGCCGTAGTTGAATATATTATTTTTTAGTTATACCTTTACTTTAGATGTGCTCATATGTGTTTTTTGCAGCTCTAATTTAAATAAATATTAATAAAACATAAAAGTCAGAAACCCCTTTTTTTACCCGGTGGGAGCTAATGGTTTTGAATTGTTAGGATTTCTGTTCCGTGAAGCCATGGCCAGTAGAACACAGGACTACTGTCCAGCAGCTTTGGCTGGGTTGCTTTAAACACTTGCACAAACCTTTTTTACTTTTCCCTGAGCTGTGTGTTTTTAAATGTATCTCCCACAGCACAAGTGTCTCCCGTGCCAGGAAAGCAGTGCGCAGCAAGCACACGCAGCAAGCCGGTTCCAGGCATTCTAGCTCTGGTTGACACTGTCGGTATAAAAGCTGATGCGGGACGGTTTTGGAGTGATCAGGTGGGACTTTTCTCTTCGTCCGATAAACCCAAACCACAAAGGGACAGGACTGAGTTTCTAGGCCAGAACTTTAAACACGGTGTGGAGACACTTCTTGTCTTCTCAAGTTGCACTGTAGCAGGTGAAACGTTATTTATAATGGAAAAGGGTTTGACCCCATTGGGAGTCCGGACACGGTTTCTTGCTATTCAGTTTCAATCCAGTCCTTTCTAACATTTTAATAAATGATTGCTCTGTGTTACACGTCACTTTACGTAGATTTTCACTTTTCTAATAGCGTTGCTGAGCTTAAACCTCATCACCTAAGAGTTACTGGTGGCAGTTTTGCCCCGGGGTAAATGACGCCTTGTTCTGGGCAGCTCACAAGAAGAGACTTTATCGTGCCATAGGCCTTGTCGAGGGACCGTGCCGAGGCCGGTTGCTGGTACCATATTGAGCGCTGTTCTGGACGGCTGCCAAAAGCATCACTAACTGATTTCAGCTGCACCAGGCTTTGCAGCACGTTGCAGAGGGCTCGCCGGATCGGCTTTTTCTCTCTGACAATTCCGGCTGGCAGGGGATTTGCAGTTGTTCCTGGATATAAACTTGTATTTACTTTGCTACAAAACCTGTCTCTAAATGAGCCAGATCCAGACGCTTCAGTCTGCACCTGGGCAGTCTCCCCCGTTCTCACCACCTGCCTGGGGAATCCCTTTTCGACCTGCTCTACCCTTTGTGGAGACCAGGACACCAGCTGAGCCCTGCCCGGAGGAGGTTACTCTCTGTCCCCTCCCTTAGCCAGGGAGACACACGCTCTGTTTCAGCCACTTCGGCAAGGGAGCAGGGGATTGGGTGGAGCCGCTGTCAGTCATGCCGTGGTCCTTCCCCTGAGCTGTGTCCCGCTGAGAAGACTCCCCGGCACAGGCCTGGCCATTGGGTTGAGATTTTTTTTCCAATTTCAGATTTTGAACAACCACATAACTGTAGAGCTGCCCCCAGCCCGGCCTCGCCAGCCCGGCCTTCGTTGCATTAAGGAGCTGTGATGGGCGCAGGGCACTGCCCACACCTCCCAGCATTCAATAACTAAACTGCCTGTAAACAATTAAACCCAGATCAGTGGGTATCCCGGAAGTGTTGGCAGGGAGTCAGGATGGCCAATGGGAAGAGACAGAAAGATTTTTAAATGAAACAGGTTTTGCCTGTTTCAGTTTCCGTTTGTGTGTGAGTCTAGAGGAGCATCTGGAGAGAGGGAGAGGGACTGGACCACGGATAAAGGCAAAGAATGTTACTGACATCATGCCCAAGGAAAGACTAAACTCTGGAACAAAAGCTTTGTGAGGAGCAGAGAATGTTTAGTTAGACACACTCTGGTTAGTTTCTTTGGGAGGAGACAGGGAAAGATTTTTGAAATGAAACAAGTTTCAGTGTCTTCTGTGTGTGAGTTTAGAGGAGGAGCTGGGGAGAGAGAGAGATGGCTTGAACCAAGAAGGAAGGCTCAGATTTCTAGTGATATCCATGCCCCAGGAAAGACTGAACCCTGGAACAAAGGATACGTATGTGGGTAGTGGCAGCGAACCACCGGAGGTCAGGAAGTCCAGGGAGTCTGTGGCCTTGGTTGTTTTTTTTTAAGAGAAGCCTTTACGGGCAGAGCATTTTAAGGTCTCTTACAGGCCCCCTTCTTCTGCACTGGAAGTGCCAGAGTGGGGACACTGACCAGTACCCAGCCTTGTGTTTCCTGCTAGTGCCGATTGGGGTTTCCCACAGCAGGACGTGTAGGAGTGAGTGACGTGTGTAGTGCCGTACGTTACGGAATTGGGATTCGTGGGGTCAATTACTCTGACTCACAAAAATACATTTTTTCAATATCTGAAGAGCAACCCATTTGCTTCCCCCATGAAACAGCCTCCAGCCGTGCATGTCGTGTCTCACAATCCCATTGTCTCTGCTTCCAGGCACTTGTACTGTAACCACCACCCTAGGGCCTGGGCACCCAAGGAAGTCAGGAGAAGGTACGGTACAATCACACTGCTCTGCCTTGGAGTTGGAGAACTTCTCCCCTGGGCCATGGCACATTCCAACACAACTGTCTTCACCAACCCTTCCATCTTCATCCTGCTGGGCATTCCCGGCCTGGAGGCAGCCCATGTCTGGATCTCCATCCCCTTCTGCATCATGTATGTCATAGCCCTCGTTGGGAATGCCAGCATCCTGTTCATCGTGAAGACAGAGTCGAGCCTCCACGATCCCATGTACTATTTCCTCTGCATGCTGGCCGTCACTGACTTGGTCCTGTCCACGTCCATCCTGCCCAAAACACTGGGGATCTTTTATTTTAATTTAAGAGAGATCGATTTCAATTCCTGCTTTACCCAGATGTTCTTCATTCATGGCGTGTTCATGATGGAGTCTGGCTTCTTCGTGGCCATGGGTGTAGATCGTTATGTGGCCATTTGCAATCCCCTGAGATATTCCACCATCATGACAAACCCTGTTCTGGCCAAGAGCGCCCTGGCCGTCGTACTACTTGGCATCATACTTGTCCTACCCATGGTCCTTCTGGCGAGCCAGTGGCCATATTGCAGAACCAACATTGTCCCCCACACAAAGTGCGCGCACGCAACCATGGTGAGTCTGGCTTGTGCCGACACCAGCATCAGTAGTCACTACGGCCTTGTTTTGATAGTCTTTGTGCATGGCGTGGATGTGTTTTTCATTGCTGTATCCTATGTGCAGATCCTCAGGGCCATCTTCCGCCTCCCCACAAAGGACGCCCGGCTCAAGACTTTTGGCACCTGCGGCTCCCACCTCTGTGCCATCACACTCTTTTACGTCCCAGCTCTGCTCTCATCCCTCATATTCCGTTATGTCCCGAATGTGCCCCGGTATTTCAATGTTATTATGTCGGACCTCTTCCTCCTGCTGCCCCCCGTGCTGAACCCCATTATCTACGGGGTGAAAACCAAACAGATCCGGGATAGGTTGCTCAGGCTAGTTACACGTAAAGGCTCCTAATGTTTGCTCCTGGGGCTCTGGCTCTCGCAGGGAGCTCTGTGTGGGGCCGGCTGCTCATGTGATTCTTCCCTGAATCAGCCCTTGGCTGGTCACAGAGACATTAAACCCTGTAGCTGCCCTCACTGCTGTGTCAGGGTGCAACACTGGGGATGGGTCTGGGCAGAGCTCTCGGTCAATCAGGCCAGCACCTTGCTCATTGCAAGTGTCTGGACACTTGTGGTCCAACCAACTACCCTCCACCCACACTCACAGCCCTACCCCTTCCCTGCCTGTTGCCCCAGGACCACTGTTGCTCACTCCTCTCCTCCCCATTACTCCCTGATCATCTCCACCTCCCTGGCCCCCCAGCTGGGCTCCCTCTGCTCCAGGGCTGGGCTGGGAGCTGCTGCCACCTGACTAGGAGCCTTGAATTAGTGCAGCGCTGGGGCTCACAGGCCAGACAGGAGCAGAGAGGGAAGCTGGGAGTCGGTACAGAATTAGCAGTGGGCTGGGAGCAGGGTTGTGTGGCTGGTGAGTCTGTGCGTTGTGCAGTTCCTGGGCCCCACAGGTGAGCCACAGAGACCTGAGGGTAGGGCCCTTTGTGTGGGTCATTTCTTCAGCTTTCAGGTCTCTCTCATTCCTCCCAGCCAAGGGCCATTATCTGGTGGGGTCTCTGGAGCGGGGCTGGGCTGGGCTGGGCTGGGCCTGAAGCCCTTTGCCCTCAGGATAATGAAGGGATCGGCTTAAGAGCCAGCAGGACAACAGCTGAGACAGGTGGAGGATTAGCCCTGGGTGAACTGGGGCGGCAGGGTGCTGGGATAGGCCAGTTGCCTGCGGTAGCTCCATGGCACAGCCCCTGTGAGCTGGCTAGTTACGCATGTACACATGAAACACATGAAGGCACATGAAACCAGTCACGCCGAGCACGTCTGTTTGCCACTTTGGCCACATAAACAACCCCTCAGACATTCCAGTGAAGCAGCCAGCACCGCTCCTTACACACAGGAGAGAAGACGAAAATCAATCTCGCCAAACAGGGTCTCCTGATCCCAACGCACCAGCCACAGTCCCAGGTCAATTTATAGCTACGATCTCACCCAAAAGGGGACACTCTGTGAGTCCTGCAGCATCTCAAGGCTTGTAAATACCATAAGAAAAGGCTCAGAGTAAAATTGTGACGAAATGACGGCGCATAAACCAGTGCACAGTTCTTGGTGCAGGCTGGTCGCAGAGGTGGGATAAAGAGCTGCCTTAAACGCCTCTGGGAACCGTCCTTTGTTGGAACAGGGCTCAGCCCTTCCGCGTGAAGTTCACAGCAAAGATGCTCTGGAAGGGGTGAGCTGGAATGAAGACAGAGAGGAGGAAACCCCCTGGGACGTCTTTACACCCTGCCCCTGTGGAGGGGAATCCCCTGTTCTCCCTGTGTGAGCACATCCCAAAATGGACTAGCTGCCCACTCCCAGTGCTTTGGGAAGCCTGTTACTGTCCCCCACAAGCAAAGACGTGAACCACCAGCACAGATCCAGTACTCCTGGCTTCCTAAGTAGAAGTGACACATTTATATGTGCAACGTGAACAGAACATCACAGGACAGCATGTTCCATTGGCCACAGTCTACACAGATGCCCTCACCTTCAGAGTCGTGTGGGGCCATGGCCAGAGTCAATATGGCTGCCCTGTCCCTCAGGGCTGTGTGGGGCAATGACCAGAGTCAATATGGCTGCCCTGTCCCTCAGGGCTGTGTGGGGCAATGGCCAGA